TCTGATGTCGGAATCCAATTTTTGGACTACAGCGGACACATAACTCCCGTCAACCCCCTACCCTTGCAATAATGCCCGGTTCAGGTATGGAGCCCCAGCCACGACGCAATTGAGGGGTCATACCCAGAAATAAGTCCCTGAGACTTCCAGGATGAAAAAATGTATACCATGGCATTGGCCCAAGTGCAGCACCTCATTACAGGGCTCCGAATGACTAATGATGAAGACGGACACAAGGTCATCCAGTGGATACCTGTGGAGCCTTCGATTACGATCTTGATCACATGGAAAACATCTGCTGAAGTGCACAGCACTACTAACCCAAATCAAGAGAATTCAAGAGTATCCATCATCATTCAGGCTCTTGCTGCATGGTATTGCCAGAAAGAATGAATTCCGGGGCACAGGTCATAGCACAGCCTGTTCAGGATCTGTTATGGATGGCTCTCTATGTGTTCAACACCGTTCAACCACCGTAGTGAAATTTCCATGCTACGAGGGCTGATTTAGCTTTGCAGAGATGAAGTAGGTCGAATCCTGAATACAGGAAGCATCGACAACTGACAGGGACATCGTGCTAGAAAACAGCGAAGTCAACAGGGCTCCTAGACTCTAGAGCCCACCCCTTGCGAGCTGAGGTTCTTGCTGACTCCAACTGCTTTTGGACGAGCGGAAGTTCCAAGATGAAAAAACAAAGCAGGCTTGGGACTCAGAAATGGATAGGAACGCATCCAGGAGCATCATTAGCCTTCAGCCGGTTTCGCATTCTCTCAGATCTAGTAAGGAAGTAACTCCTGCTACCATTGCTGCGACCTGCACCCTTGAAGCGATTTCGCTCCGCGCACCAGGTGTATGTGCAGTCACAGCCGCGCTGTGCGCCACAGCTGCGATGAAAGGCCCGGCGTTGCTGGCCCCGAGACTTAGACTGGAAAACCAGGCTACTTGCAGTGTTCGGTTAGCAGGTTTGCCCAACTGCCATAGCACCAAACCGATCTTAAGAGTAGTTTGGAAGCAGAATAAAACGAGGCTGCAAGATGATCCCGGGTGAGCTACACGATAGGCCGCCTCAGGCTCTCGTCCATGTTTAGGCCCTCACCTCAAGGCTTTGGTTTTCTCAAATGACCCCGCTGAGCGTCGGGTCACTGAGGGCCTGCAATGTTCAGAAAGCTCCAACACAGGCCGAAGGATTGCCATCCAGCTAAGCCACAGCCCATACGTTGAACTTCCACATGGAACAGTCACACATACCGTGGATCGCACTGTAGCTGTCGTAGCTTCTACAGTCCTTCAAGAGCTAGCACAGGCCAAAGACTTTAAGAATAGGCAAACGGGAATGGCCCGAAATCAAGATGACAGGAACCCATCTGGGTTGAGATAATAGCCACTAACCCTAAATAACCCTATAGACCCCTATATACCCCTATATACCCCTATAGACCCCTATATACCCCTATAGACCCCTATATACCCCACCCATCTCCCAAAAGCAGCGGGGCCTTCGGAGTGACCGTGGATGGCGCCCTCTGCAGACAGCTGCCTCGGTTCACATGGGGATGTCCCAAAATTAGGGGTACCCTTTTAGGGGTTTAGGGTTATATATATATAT